CGTGCCCAAAGTCGAAACATTTTTGCTGAGCCTCACCAACTCCATGTCCCATGACTTGCCGGTATGAGATTGCCCTCATGCGTTGGTTCAGCTCGGGCTGTCAGTCGGCTTATCGACACGGCCCCCATTGTGAGCATGGCACCGCGGCCCTCGTATGGAGCCACCGTGTTGTTGATGGAGACAGGTCCCATCTCCACTCGGGAACCCCTTTCCATCTCCATACGGCAACTACTTCGCCCATACAACCTCACGAGTGTAGTGCTCAGTGCTTCCGCACGTATTCATCCGCATAGTTGCGCCGATGAATATCATCTCCTCGCCATATGTTGGCGCCTGCCAGTGTGGGCCCATCTCCGCATGGTGAGCGCTTCTCAGCCAGTCACTGATGGCTTCAATACCCCTTTTCAGACATGATAGCCACACCCTCATGGATGGCGAGACGCCTTGCAACTGCCAATCTTGTTCGAGGGTGGACCTAAGCCTTGTCTGATTTCCATATCTGTTGGCGCCACGGTTGACTATCCGGACCGCTGCCTGCCTAACTTGTACGCTTCACGACCTACATCTACACGGTCGTCCCCATCTGGTAGATACAGGGCTCGGAGGGCAGCCCGGCGTTCAGTCTTAATATTGAGCTGTCTACTATAGCCTCATTTCGCCTACCTGCGGCATACGGCCTGGATTGGGTCGACTCACAAGGTGGCCGAGGCGTATGCCAACTCCTACTCAAACCAACCGCTATGACAGACACGTGATCCTTCCCTTTGAGGTAGCTGAAGACGAGGCGGGCGAAAGCCTAGGCATATGTTTATCACGCCAGGAACTCTTGCTGACTTTGGTTAGGCACATGTGGAAATCGATGGTACATGCTACATCTAACGGAACCACAGTCACACAGAGAAGGCTCATCAGCCAACATCCGCATTACTTACCCCTACCCTTGCCTTTTCCGTCCCGTGCTTCTGGGCAAGTGTTCCTCAGCCTGCGCTACTTGTAGCCTCTGTGAGAAACAGAATTTTCGGGTGGTTTCTGCAGTGGCGGTTTCTCCTAGTCTTTTGGATAGACTGGTAGCGGTGCAGATAGTCTGGCATTGCCGAAGGTGGAGGGTAGCAGAAGCGGAGCGCTACCTCTCCAGCGGGTTTCTTGGCCGCAAAAATGGTCTCTGTGCAACATCAATATGGTTATGTCAGAGATTTGTATCGGACTGTATCTCCCACTTGTCCCATAGGCGTAGTGAGGATCAGATCAAGCTTGCGTCACCCTAATCACGCCAGGGTGCCAATGAATGCGACACAAATGACAAAATAAGGAAAAGGTGGCCGCGCAAAAAAACACTCAGTTTTTCTGGGTAAGTATCTCGGGGGTTGGGTAGGGTAAAAAGACTCTCACAAGGCCCAACCAGCTGCTGTATTCAACCAGCAGCGCACCGACATGGGCGCGGCGTGCGTCAACCAGTATTGTTCCTTCCCGGCAAGATGCAGTGACCGGCTCCAGTCGCTGTTTTCGGGGCGCTTTCCCGGTTCTTCTTGTACTGGCGCGCGGAGTGCGATCCGACAGAACCTGCGGCGAAGAAGCCCAATCAGACACATTTCCATCCAGACATAGCAGGGAGAGCAAATCGGGTTGATGGGGCTAAAGCCAGCCCTATGTCAAATTGCCGGGTCGATAGGGGTTTGATCCGTCGGGAATACTCAGAGAGCTCGATCGCCATCTGAACTCTTGACAATCTTTTTGTCTTTTGGTTTCAGGTTGACTTAGGACATCACAGCGACTCATATGGGTATAGCGACTATTGACGCGGCCTGCCGTCAACCATATATCTATTTTAGTTCTCTTTTGCCCCTTTAAGCACTGAATAACAACTGGTTGTGGCCCATGTCTTGACCCGCAGAACATCTGATATATTATTATTACCCATCAAAAGGTACCTGCATCGCCGATTTGTGGTTCCGACGACTTTAACAATCACACTAGTCAGCCACTCTAAACACAGCTCTGTGATATTTAACAGGTTTAAGTCATGATCTTGGATGATTTGCCCTTCCCGCAAACACACAGCGATCCAAAAAATGCAATGCAATTAGAGAGAACATGAATTTAAAAGGATTTTGGGTCGTGGTGGATAGTACCTAATTAATGGCCAGCTAGTGAATAAGACGTGTTATTAGGTAATCCGGTCCCAAGTGAGACGTTGGGGGCGCGCAAGTCGGTGACACCAACCGCCACGCCGGGAAGCTGCCAACTGCAACCGAACGGTCAACCGCCGAAAAAAAAAACAATAATTATTCAAGCAGCAGACGGCCACAAGATATCCTGCAGACGTCCGGCCGACCAACCGACAAATTCGGCAACAAATGGACCAGGACCCGGACGCGGTGTTGCTGCGGAGCGGCCCAGTCATTGACGCTACCGGCCTTCTCCTGTTGATTTCCACCATTACCGTTTTCCTCTTGCCTCTGTTCATCTACTTTCCCCCCGTACCCCCATCACAGCGCGATGCACTGCTTGAAACACATTCGCCCATCGGTGTGAAGCACATCAAAAGCAAGAAGAAGACTACTACAACCTCACCATCAAAAACCACCATCGACCAGCTATGGATCTACCCAGTCAAGTCATGCAAAGGCATCCAACTCACCTCGAGCAAGGTGCTCCCCTACGGCCTGGAGTTTGACCGCCTCTACACCTTTGCTCAACTCAAATCCCCTTTTCCTCTCAGCACCTACCCATCGTCAGCAGAAGACAAGCTCCAGCCTCAAGAAAGCTGGGAATTCATCACCCAGCGGCAGTTCCCCCTCCTAGCCACCGTCACCGTGGAGCTTTTCAGCCCGGACCCAGTCAAAGCCCGGGGTAAACCGCTCTACTCGGACGCCAGCATCAAAGACTCCTTTCTCCTCATCAGCTTCCCCTGGCAAGAGCCAGGCCTCCGCGGGGTCGTCAGCTGGGTGGCCGCCAAGCTCGCACGGGGCCGCGGTGCGGTCCCACAGAAGCAGCTTGTCCTCCCGGTGAGTTTCCCGTCGCAAGACGAGATTGAGTCCCAAGGGTACCAGAGGGAAGAGGTCAGGATCTGGAAGGACGTGGTGTCGGCGCTGAACATGGAAAAGGACCTACCTCGGGAGTTGGCGCTGTACCTGGGGGTGAGCAACAGGCTCGGGCTTTTTCGAGTCGACCCGGGCCGATTGAGAGAGGTGCATAGGTGTGCGCCGGGGAGGGAGGAGGCGGGTTACCAGCCTGTGACTGGATTTCAGGATGCTGTAAGCTTTTGTTTTTTTTTATCTCTCGTATTTTTTTATTTTTTTACTGTCTGCACACCCCCCTCCCTCCCCTCCCTTCGGCATTTTTTGGCTTGTGAATGAAGAGCGTGGTTCGATTTACCGTCCTACCCACAGACTTTTTGGTGATGAAACACACCACCACTCACTCGCGCAAATCAACTAAGAAAGAGGGGTTGACGATGGGTGTGACTTTTTTGTGTTGTTTTCTAACACGGCCATTTGCGGCAGTATCCACTACATCTCCTTAACCTCTCCAGCATCCGCGACTTCAGCGCCAAGATCACTAAAGACGAGAATCTCGAACAAGACTTGGACGCGCGGAGGTTCCGCGCCAACATCATTGGTATGTTTCGATATTTTTTGTTTCTCCTTTTTTGTTGTTGTTATCATCAAGACTGTTGTTTCGAGTCCCCTGGACCCTGTTGGTTTGTTTCACGGAAGCACGGAAAGCGGGGAGTTTTTCTGGGCTGGGGGGGGGAGAGTTTTGACAATGGGCTGAAGTGGACTTGGGATGACGAGACTCTTTCCTTTTTCTTCTTTCCCCCCTGCTACTGTACCTTTTCTTCCCCGCGGTGTTGTCTCTTGAGCCGCTCGCTACTCCACAAACACACCCTTTTTTTCTTGTGTTATTTTTCTTTGCGGCGTTTACTGTTCCCCCTCCCCTGTAAGCGTGGCCCCACAGCCACTGACACCCCCGATTTCTTTCTTAGTCGACGGTCCCGAGGAAAACAACCCCCCTTATGATGAGGAGACGTGGAAAAAGGTTTGTTTTAAGAAGAGTGATGATGCCGAGGGGGAGAAGAGCAAGCCTGCTGCTGCGACTTTTCATGTGTCGTGCCGGACGGTGAGGTGCAAGATGCCGAATGTGAATCAGGATAGTGGGTTTAGGCATCCGGTTGAGCCGGATAGGAGCTTGAGGAAGCTGAGGGATGTGGATGAGGGGGCGAGGCTGAAGGGGTGTTTGGGGATGCAGTTGACGCCCTTGTTTGATGGGGAGGAGAAGTTGGAGAGCTGGGTTGAGGTTGGGATGAGTGTGGAGGTGGGGGAGAGAGGCGGGCATAGGTATATTAATCAGTAAGAGAGCCTGGGCACTGATTGAGATGAGAGGGAGAGTGGGTGATGATAGAGAGAGTCAGTTGGGGAGGATGGTTTGAGAGGTGGCGGAGAAAATATATAGAACCATAAGGCGATCTGGATATCGGCAAGAACAGGGGATAGATGGGAACAGAGAGACAAAAGTTCCTTGTATATACAGAATAGATTTTGAGTAATAATATTAGACAATCACTTCACAGACAAAGCCGCTTTGCCTCTGCCAACTTCCACCCAAAGACAGCTGACATTTGTCAGTCGGTAACATCACGTTGTACCTACATAAACCCAACACATATATGCTGCAGACGGGAGTTCAGACGAAGGAATATAGCCTGTCCTATGATTATTTGCAGTCAACAACGTAGACACACCAACGAAATGACAATCAAGACAAAATATAATGTATCCCACTAAACACAGCCACGGCCAAACTCACACATACTATAATATCGTGTACAAGTTGAAAAGTCATTCATCATATCTACCACTCCCATCCCTATATCAACAAACAGAAAACCAAACAAACAAAAAGCAACCCATCCATCCCTTTGTATCCAGCCATCCATGCTTTCCCACCCCGCCCTCCCAAACTCCAAACACCCATCCCATCCTCATTCATAAACACACTTCTCACCTCAAATCCGCCGGCGTCAAAGCCTGTACCATACTAGTCCCCTCACTAAACCTCGTCCTAAAAATCCTATTCGCATTCTGAAACATCCCATCCTTCAAGCTCACAACAATAAACTGACTCCCCTTGAACCTCGTCTTGATCAGCCTTCCAATGTTCTGCGTATGCGACAAATCCAACGCGGCGTCAACCTCATCCAAAATATACATCGGCGCCGGCTTAAACTGCAGCAGCGCCATGATCAGACTAAGTGCAATGAGCGATCTAATGTTCCGTCAGCACACATCCCGTTTCATACCAAAAAGAATACATACCTCTGACCACCCGACAACTCCGTCAGACTCTCCTTCCACACCTTCCCAAGACAAACCTTCACCTCCAACCCATCACTAATCGTCTTCCCTTCTGGCGGGTCTAATTTCGCAAAAGACCCCGGGAGGAGCTCCTCGAAAATGGCCCCAAAGTCCCCATTCACCTTCCTCCACGTCTCCTCCAACGCCCTCTTCTTATAGTCATCCAGACTCACAATCGTCTCCTCAATCTTTCTCTTGTCCCTCATCACCGTCTTCATCATGTGCTTCAGCGCCACCTCCTTCTTCTCCACGCTGTCGATCATGTTCATCACCTTGGGGTTGATCTTCTTCCTCAACCCCTGGCTCCTCTCCCTCAGGTTCCTCTCCGTGGCCTTCAGCTCTGAAATATTAGAATTCTGTCCCCTAAAATCATAGGGCGTGCCGGGACGACCAAACTGATCCTTTGCGTCGGGGATCCACTCGTGTTCCTTTTCCAAGGCTTGGATATGCGCCAGTGCAGACTGTGACTCCTTGCCGAATTTCTCAATCTGATGGCCCAGCTTCTGAAGCTCAAGCTTCTCCTCGGCAATGCGCGAGGTCTTGGAGCGGGTGGCCTGTTCAAGAGACTTAAGCTCCGAGTCAAACACGGAGAGTTTCCGCCTTTCCGCATCAAGTTCGGACTGGGCTTCGTCATGGGTGGTCTTGATCGTTTCAGCCTTGGAGGCCAGGGCGGTGAGTTCCTCCTGCTGCGAGGCAATAGCCAGATCAATCTCCTGCACTTGCTCCCTGGCGGCGGCCAAGTCAGCAGAGACTTGCTCAGAGTCCAGCTGGGCGTTTTGCAGCTCTTTCTGCAGAGTCTTGAGCGAGGTTTGCATCTTGGCGACCGAAGCACGGAGGCTGTTGACCGTTTTCTGCAGTTCCTCCAGTTTACCGTCCTTGTTGTTGTCAAAGTCCTTCATGTCCTTCTCGATGCGCTTGACGTCAGCCGAGGCCTCCACCTGTCGCTGCTTAGCCTCGACAATAGACTCCTTGAGCTGGCCAATCGTCTCCTTCATGTTTTGGACATCCTGGATGATGGACGAAGCAGAGTTTCCGCTGATTTGCTCCTCGGCAAGCTTGATCTCGTGGGACTTGAGGTCGAGCTCCTGCTTGATCTTCTTGGCCTGGTCGAGCTTGGACTTCTCACGGGCGATGTGATTATGAAGCAAGCCCAAGTTGGCCTCGGCTTCCTTGAGCTGTCTGGTGATCTCGTTGAGCTTTTGCAGGGTCACCAAGACACCGCTGGAGTTGGGAGCGCTGCCGCCGGAAAGGGTACCCGAGGGGTCATAGGCATCGCCTTCGAGAGTAATACTGCGCATCCTGACGTTGGGGTCGAAAGTCACCTTCTTGGCAGTCTCGGCATCCGCGCAAATGAGCGTGTTGCCAAAGACGTACTCCATCGCCCTCGAGACCTCCTCGTCATAACCGACAAGAGACAAAGCCAAGTCGACCTTTCCCGGGCAGATTTTTTGCGCCGTGGCAACTGTCTGAGCAGAGGCCTTGAACGCAGCAATCTTGTTTAGGGGAATGATGGTAACGCGCTTCCGCAACCTACCGCCCTGCAGGAGCTGTGTACCAGTAACCTCAGTATCCACAACAACGTTGTAGAGACGACCGCCAGCGCAAATCTCCAGAGCCGTACCAGCCTGAATGAACTGCTTGTCGAGAGTGAACAGCTGAGCCACCAAACCCTTGACCTTGGAGCGATCAAAGTTTGGCACTGGATCCGCATAGTTGAAGTCGATATTGGCAACCTTGCGCTTCAGAGCATCCGACTCTTGGCGCAGATTGCGAATGGTCTGTTGGAGTTGACTTTCCTGTTTGTACAGCTCGCCTTCTGACCCTGGTTGGAACCCAAGCTTGCCCAGCTCCTTTTCCAGCCTCTGAGCCTGCACCTTGAGCCCTTCCAACTCGTTTAACAGCCCAGCGTTTGCCTCTTTGGCCTTCTTTGCTCGCGGTTCCTCCTCCTTTATCCGCTTCTCCAAATGCGCAATCTTGATCTTGGCCTGCTCCTGCTCCGTCGTAGCAGCAGTCACCCGGTTCCTCGCATCTTGTAATTGACCCTGATAACCACTCTCCTGGCCTTCCTTGGATGCAACACCGGTTTGCAGCGTCTGTAGCAGTTCCTCTTTGGATTCCACCTCCTCACTCTGCTTTTCCACCGCATCCTTCGCTGTGTCGTATTTAGCCTTGGTCTTCTCATACGCCTTGGTCTTTTCCTGCAGTGTCGCCTCCAGCTCGGTAACAGCCTTCTCAGCCTGAATCTTTCTTTCCTCCTCCTCCGCCAGACTGGTCCGCTTCAGGTCGATCACCGTAGCTAGCCGTACAAGCTCGTTCGAGTACTTCTTGACCGCCTCCTCCAGCGCCTGCGCCTTTCCTCCTTTCCTCAACTCCTTATCCCTCTGCGCCTTTACTCTTTCCACATCCTCTTCCAAATGTGAAATCTCGCTCTTCAACCTCTCCGCCGAAGCCTCCAGATCCTTCTGCCGTTGCTTGTTCGCCTCTAGATCCGACCCCGACTGCTTCAGCTTCTCCTGACACACGACATAGTCATGCGCCACCACTATCCTCGTTAACCTCTCGAGATCATTCTGTGTCTGCTGAAAGTCCAAAAACGCCCTCTTTTCCGTCCTCAGCTTCTCCAACTTTGGCTCAATCTCATCCCGCAGCAGCTCTGTAATCTCCTGCAGCTTCAGATCCTTCTTCGCCATCGTCTTGAACGCCTTATCCCTCCTATCCTCAAACATCCTCGTCCCCGCCGCCTCCTCGATCATGGCCAGAATCTCCACCGCCTTCATGTTCAGCACCTTTGTAATCCGACCTTGCATAATCAAGAAGTTGGGGTTGTTGATGTTGAGCTGTACACTCTGAAACAGGTTCTGCACCGTCTGCTGCTGCGCGCGGTGGCCATTGATCAGGTATTTCGTCGTGCCCCCCAGCACGATCTGTCGCGTTACCGAGATGGTGGCGTATTCCTCGAAGCCGATGGGCGATCGCTTCTTGTCTTTGTTGTCGAACACAATGGTGACGCTGGCCTTTGTCACGCCGGCCTGGCCGCGCTTGTAGATGAGATCCTGGAGGTTTTGCGCGCGGACGGTGGAGAGGTGGGTGATGCCGAGGACGAAGCAGATGGCGTCGAGGATGTTGGATTTTCCGGAGCCGTTGAGGCCGGTGATGGAGTTGAAGGATTCGTCCCAGCCCGAGATTACGGTGCGGACGGCATAGGACTTGAAGCCCTGTTGTTTTGGTGATGCGACAACTGGTTAGCGGTGCCCAATGTTGGAGAGCAAACGACAAGCAAGAGAAAGCCTGGGCGGTGAAACTCACGTCGATAATTAGTTCCGTCACCCTCATGGTGGCGTTGAGTTGTATGCAGAAACCCCCGGTGCCCGCTGGTGATGGTCAGGTAGTGTCGGGGAGGAGAAAAGGTCGTCGTTGTTGCAAATCGAGAGTTCGTCAAATCAGGTCACGCCGCGGTCGCTCCGCAAAAACACAAGAATATTTGTTTACTTTCCTCAGGGTGTCGCCCCGCACTTGCAACTGTCAGCTTCCAATCAACCCCACCCATCTGAGGGGAGGGTGGTCAGTGCGTAGAATCTTGGCGTGTTCTATGGAGGATGCAGTTATCCGGGACTTGCGTCCTTGTTTTGATAATGGATAAGTGCATGTTGCTGGCCGATGATTTGGGCGCCTGATAGAAGGATATTTGAGAGCTATTGTCCTAGGGTAGGAGAGACTATGAATTTGCCGGCAGTAGAGTAGTCCATCGCAATATCAACATAATTTGGATTCTCCTCATAAACAAGATTGGCTGAAACGTGTGTGGACCTGCTCGGTGGATGGTGGGCATGAATAAGAAGAGCAAGCGTGAGGCTTGAGTAGAAGAGCTTTGTCGGCCTGACATGATAGAGGACAAACATGTTTCCTTGTGTCTATGGAGGTTCTTTTCATAGATATCAGGGACTGAAAAGTAACCGGAGGGAAGAGAGATCGCAGTCGTGTAAGTCATGCCCCGGTAGAGGTGAGGTCCAAGGCACTTTTGATGCCGTTGGGTGATCCTTGGCACTGATTGGCCACTCTGGTCAAACGAACAGCTTCGCAGGGGTGGCCCCGGCGCAGTGGCTAGGAACGCTGGAACGCAGTGGTCCGAGGGGGGAACCTGGCCGACGCAACCCATCACCTCCCACCGCAGCATCTCTCCGTCTCTCACAGCAACGAAGAGACGTCTTGCTGCTGAATGTGCGCGAACAGGAACTCTCCCTTGTACCGGCCGAGATATTTCTCCATGCGCCACCGTCTTTCTCACGATCTCTTCACCAAATGCATTCGCTACCAGGCCACGGCGTAATTAATTAATTGAAACTTAGCGGGTTTGCCTTTGGGCCTTCGGCGTCACAGATCAAGGACAGGTCGCTGCAATTCCAACCACCGCCTAAACAACATCGTCTCCCAACGTCCTGCAGTCGTCCGTTGAGCTGATACGACTGTATTCACCTTTCGCCGCAATTCAATGGTTCCACAGTTCCAGTCATAATTCCATGCCCTATCTCTTATACCGTCATCGCGGCGCATCGTCGAGGTTAGCAGCAGCAGCGGCTTCACCGGAGCGATACCCGATGCAATGAACCCCTCGCAGCGGGCCTCTTCGAGCACACTGTTGCCCGCCGCCTCCCGGGATTCCGACTCCAGCTCTATTCGGCCACGAAACCGGCGCCAAGCCAGTTACAAAGACGACCCCGACAACTCTTCCAGTCGGTCTACCAGCCGTGGTGCGACTCCGATTCCCGCCGCACATATTGGCTCAGTAACAGGCAGAAATGATGCAAGAACAGAAGTTGCGCGGAATCGTCCCAACACAAAAGGAAGTTCAGGACAAGGCGCAGGTTTGTTAGGAGGCACTTGGGCGCCAAGCTGGGCCTCGGTCCAGAACCTTGCCACCACATTGATTGCAGGCGGGGAGTCCTTTATCAACGGAGAGTCGCACCGACCACAAACAAACGGGAACAAGGCAAAGGGGGGGCAAGGCGGCGGTCGAGGTGATGCCACAAACACATGGGGCCCCGCGCCGCCGGGTGAGACCAGACCCCGCTCCGACGAGATTGGCACTGGAACATTGGCCAAGAGGGATGCCAGACTGAAAGCGATGAGGACTGCTAGTATTCTTGAAAGCCACGAAGGTGTGAATGGGGGTTTGGATTTTGGTAGAAAGTTCAAGAAGAAGGGGTCGGATGAGGATTTGCGCAGGACGGTATTGAATGACGAAACGGAGGAACACTTGGTTTACATTCACCATGTCCAACCAACAGACACGTATGCCGGGGTGGTACTGAAATACAGATGTCGAGAGGATGCTTTTCGAAAGGCCAACGGGCTCTGGTCAAGAGATGGAATCCAGGTCAGGAAATATTTGATGATGCCGGTGGATGCGTGTGAGGTCAGGGGCAAGACTTGTGAAGCACCAGTCGACCCAGCAGCGAAGGTTGACCTGTTGGCACGAACACCAGACACAACAGATCCATGGGGGCAGCCAACCAATGGAGGCGACTTTTTCTCGAATCCAGGAAATAGTAACCAGCTGGAGCAACAATCACAGTCAGGCGACGACGACCGGCCATGGACCCATGTACGGTGGGTATCAATCGATTCCCATCCTCACCCAGTCGAAGTTGCCAGAGTTTCTCGGAGGTCGCTTGGGTACTTTCCTCCTCGCAGGAAAAAAAGCACTCACACCATGTCATCTTTGTCAACGCCTCGAGCTTCAATTGATGCCCCCAACACCAGTGTTTCTGAGCCAAATATTGGAAGCCCAAAAAGTCCCTCTTCTCGGCGCCCTTCGCTGTTGTCCACCCGTTCTCCGATTGCATCCTCTCATGGAAACCTACCCACCCGATCAAACTCGACAGCTACCACCAGCGATAACGATCCCCGACCGGCATGGATGCGCCGTCCAGGAGGTGTAGGCTCGCTCGGCAGAAATGTGCGAGCCCCTGGGCCACAAAAAGACCCTCTCAACGATTGGGCTAAGAAGAATGTTCCCGGATTCAACTTTGACTCTTTGCCTTCCATGTCGGCCATGGGCATGGAAAGGGCTCGGTTTGGCTTCACCAATGATGCTAATGCGCCGGTTACCATTGCGGAGAGCCCGTTTGGAGAGGGCCAGGACACCTCTGCCATGAGCAGACAAGGGACAGGTCTCGATAAGGCGGCTCTTGCTGTGGAAACCTGGCTGAGAGGCGCTATCGAGAAGGGTGTCGAACTTGCAAAATCGGGGAACGTCACGCCTATTCTGGGACCGAGGCGGGTGAGCGGGATGCATGGAGGGAGTAACGGACAGGGTGATCTGATAGAATTGGAGAACACTGGAAGTGATGATGACGGGAGAGGGTGGCATGACCCGAATTTTGGGGGGACTCTGGGCAGTCCGGCTGTTGCTGGCCCATCAGGGAGGAGTTTTGGAGAGGCAGCTGCACTGAGGGGGAGGGGAGGGAGTAAGAAGGCTGATTAGGATCTCTGTAGCTCAGGAAGTGGGGTTTGAATTTGGCAAGTGGTGCATTGCGCAGGTTGAGCCCTTCATTGCGGATTGCTGGTTGTTGTTTTCTGTTCTTTTGAATGCTTGTTTAGGGTATATAGCAAGAATTGGCGCAGCGTGTTGGATTTATTGGATCAAATTAGATTTTTTGGATCATTCTCTTTTCTCTCTGACAAGTGCTTGGGTCTAGGTTGACCATCAGGGTTCATTCAGGGGGTCGCATTTCCAACAGCCAGCTTCCCTGCGCATGCCTGGATTAGCTGCGTCATTGATAAGAACCCTTATCGGGGCGCATCGCGACTGTTCATCATTCACACCACCATCGAGCATCATCAATTTCCCATCGCATTCAATATTCCTACACGACGACAAACCGGTGCACCACGGCGCACCCCTTGCCTTTATACACAACCTTTCAAATGTCACGATAAACCCCCCTCTCAGCCGCAACCATGCCAATCTGCATCGAATGCCGCCACCCAGTGAAAACCCTCTGGCGCGAGGGCGGAACGAGCAACACCTCCTCCACCACCAACAAGCCCTCCGCCTCGGGCGGCCACAACATCCGGCTCACCGTCTGCAAGAACTGCGGGCGGTTCTGCGACAAATACGTCGAGCACGACTTTGTGGTGCTATTCATCGATTTAGTCCTCATAAAACCGCAGGTGTACCGACATTTACTCCACAACACACTGATGAACACCCCCTCCGCCGACCCCTCCGATCCCGACCACCCCAAAAAAGAAGAAGACGCCTTCGCCCCGAGCATCGTCCGGTTAGGGGTTTTGTTACTGCTATTTGACGTCTACCTCACCTGGGCTAGAATCGAAAGGCAGAGCAGTGACACCGAGGGCCTGGCAGAACGCCCCATTGTTACTCAATACGTCTTTTTCCGTCTGTGTCCCCACCAATTCCCCAACAATCAGTCATGCTGATGATGCCGAAAACAGTATTACTCTGCACCCTAACAACCCTCTCCTTCCACCTATCCATCCGCTTCCTCACCTCCTCCCGCTTCTCCCCCCTCCCCTTCCTCGGCATGTTACCCCGGTATCCCCGTCCAAACTCTGTCTCCACGGCCCTTCTCGTCTCTTCTTCTACGAAGCTCTTCCCTATTCTGATGGTCATATGGGAATATGACGTTCCCGCCGCGGCCAGGTCGCTAGGGTGGGCGGTGGTGGCTAATAATGTCGAGGCGTTGAAGATATTGCTCGACTGCAGCTACGGCGTTGCCGCGTTCTTGGCCATGGCAGGGGCGCTAAGTAGATGGGCGATGGGGAGGGTGGTGCTGTGGGCTGCCGGGTTAGAAGGGGTGGATTCTTGGACGGCAGGGACGGAAGGGGGCCAGATAATGGGGGGTGATGGACGGGGGTTAGGGGAGTTGGGGGTGCTATTGGGGTATCTAAAAGATTGGGCGGGGAGGTTGGCTGTGGGGTAAAGGGGGAGTGTTTTTTGGTAAAAGTAATAAAGCGTTGACTTTTGGGTATTCATCACATGGATTGATGGAAAAGACGTGTGCCCCATGTTCATGATATTAAGCCTCCGAAGGGCTTGCCCGCTTGCGAAATGTACAAATTCCAGCCTTCATTCTTCCCAAAAGCCTCCATTATCAAGGCTTGATTCATTCCCGTCCCCCTGGTTCGTCCTATAACCGCCGCCCCAAAAGCAAAAGAAAACAAATAAACGCCAGCCCCAAAAAAAGAATCTGCTTATGAATGCCGTGCCGTGGGTATTCGTACAACAATGCCAATAACCTCCCCCTTCTTCTTCTTCGTCATCATCGTCCTATTGCTCGCCGCCTATAGTTTTAGCCTCGTGTTGAGGCTTGCATCTGTTTTGTATGTGCCATCTCGTTGTAGCTTTTGGTTGTGTGGTCTAATGGTGGACAAACTCCTTGCGAATGTCGGACCGTCTCGGCTCGATGAGGGGGTGAAGCTGGGCGAGGAAGGTGATGGCCCACATGAGGTAGCAGCTGACGAAGGCGAGGATGAGGGAGGAGCGCCAGAGGCTGTGGGGGAGAGAAAGGTTAGTTGGAGGTTGGGAGGGTGGGGGGTGAGGAGGGGGAAGACGTACACTTGGTTCTCACCCTTGGGGGCAAAGACCCAGGCGGCGGTGCACATTGCGAGAATGATGGCTAGGCCGATGAAGATGCTCCATCTGTTTGGGGGTGGTGGTTAGCTATTTGCGCAATAACATTGTTGTTGCGGGTGGTTTGGGGGTAAATGTTGGGGGTGGGAAGGGACGTACCCGTTGGCCATGGTGAATGTTTGGTTTCGTTGACGGGGAGGAGGGGTGCTGGTGCTGCGCGATTTGGAAGGGTAGGTAAGGGTGGTGTTTCAATTGGAAGTGGAATTTGTTGATCGAATGGCGATGATGGTCGTTTCGGGGGTGGTGTTAATCGTTGATGTTCCTGACGACGACGACAGGTTCGATGGTGTTGCGGCGGCTGGTTGGAGGTTGGCTGGATGATGCTGGAGCTTCAAGGCGCAGCATGCAACAAGGCAAGCTTGGACCGGGGTTCTGGGTGCAGGGTGCTGCTTATGTGATGAAGATGCCAAGACCGCTGTAGGTCGTGAAATATTACGCTGAGTTTGCAATTACGGTATTAATCTTTCATCTTGTTGCCATACACTCGATACTTTCCTCTCTTTCAGCAAGACACCAGGTTGATGATTCTATTTTGTGATGTCCTCTTGATTTCAAACTCCTACGTGATTTCCTTAAATACATTAGTATCAGTTTGGGTAGGTTAGGGTAAGATCGACGACTCCTGCCTTGCCAGCCCCAGCCACGACATCGTCGTTATGAAGCTGTCAGAGAACCTGTCAGGCCAACAGCTTGCTCCTTCCTAACGACAGTATATATTTTTCTTCCCGCACACATCTTCCAACATGGAACAGTAGCACCGGCCAAATGGTCGAGCGGTAAGCCTGCTGGCCGAGGGCATGTCCCCAACCTCGGTTGCTCTCGACCCTTGAGAGCTTCTATGTTCGACTCCAAAACCACCGGGTTTTCGTAGCCGCATCACCACAATCAAACAAAGTGTGGATGACCGGTGAGCTGTTTGTCATTTTTATCTGTCACCTTGCAACAAGCTGAACAAGTCAAACTCAAAGGCCTTAAACCAAATGGCCAATGCCCAAAATCTCCGATTGTTTTCGGCCATTGTCGATGCTTTTCTTACTCAAGTCCCAGTCAAACATATCGCGTGTCCTCGTTCGATAGTCTCGACATGACGTCGAATTGCCCATACCGAACCCAGCAGCCCTTGGCATCGCAACGTATCAACTGAGAACAAGCATAGAGATTGGATCGAGAAAACAAGCCTCTTTAGGAAGTTCACATTCTGTACCTTGCTCCTAAAGATCGACGATAGATATTGATGTACATAGCAATTCTCCGCCATTGGGGCGCTATGTTGGTCTTCTGCTGTGGTTGATGGTCAACTTTTCTTCCGGGGGATCGTGGCTCTGGAGATGTTTGGATGTAGGTAACTTTATGGGGATTTTGAAGATTTCATGGGTGTATTGAGAGAGAGCATGGTATTATCAGAGAGTCTCGTCGTCTGCTCGGCTTCACATGGTTGTATTAGCCCTTAAACGTAAGATCTCCACGTTCCTTGGAATCAACCTTGACATAAAATCCTACTAACATCGAATGGAGAATCATTTTTCGAACTTTAAATGTCTTCAAAGTAGTTAATATGACAACATCGGCTGTATGGCTCCCCCAGGTAGTTGCTTTCTAGCTTCTCCTCGAACAAATCACCATCCACACGGCGGTGACACGAAACTAGAAGTTCACCTTGTCGATCGCAGCGGCTATCGTGGTACGATTTTACCGTTGGCTGGCTTGGCTCAGAACCAACAGACTAAGACTAGGTAGACATGGGATATCGCCATTTCACCAATGATCAACTCAGAGAGGCACAAACAAACGCCCGTCTCAGGTATAAAGAGGGAGGTACAAGTTCCGCCGTTTGTCCCTCCTCTACTCACCAGCCATCGACCAGCTTCAACCCTCAACCACCGGAGACGAACAACCGTTGTGCATTTCTCCCTCCAAACCCTCCAAAATGAAGTTCACCACCCTCACCACCCTCGCCACCACCGCCCTCCTCACCACCGCCAAAGCCGACATCTGGATCTACGAAGGCACCGACCTCGGCAGCGGCGGTGAGGTCCTCTGGCTGTTCTTCCCCGGCTTCCCCCCCCCCCACAGCTGCGAAGACGTCAAGAATACCCGGCTCATTCTCCAAAAGTGGGACGTGAGCGAGATCGAGGGTGTTGTTTGCGATGGGGATGGGTGCTATAATGGGAATATCTCGAGCGGTTGGAGTTTGATGTTGATGTTGGTCATTTCAGTGAGTACTATTGAGGGAACGTGCTGTGAGAGGATGTGTGCTGACACTTGGGTGAATAGCTATTTATAAGAATCGGGACTGGAACTTGGTTGGGCTTGAAAGATAAGGTTTGGGGCCACTGTCGACCGACGGAGGAGGATGAGTATGATTGCCCGGCGCAGTATCTTTCTGCCGGGCAGTTGAAGTTTAATTGTGAGACGGATGTTTTCCCTTGAGGGATCATGAATGGGTGGTGGAATTCTGGAGTGAGTGAGTGAGGGGACTATTGTGGAATCAATGAGTTTGTTGTTGTAGGTCTGAACGTCACTCTACGGTCTTTTTCTTGAGGAGGGATGACACAGGAGCTGCTGTCTCTTTTAGTGATCGCTTGCAAAGTAACAATTTGGGACCAGTTCTTGATATAACCAGGTTCATTCTTTACACTTTTTGAGCATCTTGACAACATTAGAGCAACTTTCTCCATGGGCACTCCCCTATTCTAAGATATAGCACCTCTCCACTCTACGCAGACTTCATCACCGTCCTGCCAACAGTGAAATACTACCGTGGCCCTTAACTCCCACATAGCCCATCACGAATTTTCATACCCCAACCCCCCCTCCCTCCTCACAGCCCCATAAATCCCCGCAATATCCCCCTTCTCCCCAGCATACTCCTTCACCTCTTTTAAATGCTCATCCGCCACCTCCAAATTCCTCATCCTCACCCCCGCCTCCTCCGCCAGCTTCAACGCGTGCCCTGCGTCCTTCCTAGCCAAATCAACCGCAAAAAGCGGTTCCTCCCTCGTATGGTAATCCCCGCTCAGCATCCTCGTCGAATACGCCGCATACGGCCCCGGAAACATTTGTTCCACCCACTGATGCAGATACTTGGTCCCTAAACCAGACTTTTCAGCAAGAACATACCCCTCGGCAAGTTGCTCCACCATGTTGAAGACAAAAGTATTCCCGATCAGTTTTAGAGTAAGGGCTTTCCCGTACGGCTCGTCAGACATGTCGATTTCTGCTCTGGCTATCACGCCCTTGAAGTAAGGGCGGGCACGGTCAACTGAGGCGGAAGGGCCGGCAAGAACGCCGATGAGCTGTCCCGCGTCGGCCATGGCTGGGGCGCCGAAGACGGGGGCGGCGAGGAACTGGGCGCCGCGGGAGGTGATGGAGTTGGCGATGCGGGTTGTGGTGGTGGGGTGGATTGTTGAGCAGTCGATTATGAGCTTGCCGGTGAGGTCGTGGGTTAGGATTTCGGAGATGGCGGATTCAACGACCGAGTCTTTGGAGAGGATGAGGAAGATGATGTCTGCTTGGCGGATGCCGGAGGAGATGGAGTCGAGGATGGTGACTTTGCCGGGGGGGAGTTGGGACGCGAGGTCGAGGGAGCGTTGTTTGGTGCGGTTGTGGACCAGGAGGGGTTGGTTGTCTAGGGGGCCTTTGAGAACGAGGTTTTTGACCATGCCCTGGGGGTGTTAGTTGGGATACATATGAAGGTAAGGGGGAGATTGAGAGGCTTACTCGGCCCATGTTTCCTAGGCCGATCCAGAAGACTGTTGGGGTCATTGTGAGATAGATGTGGTATTGGTAGGTGAGTTTGATGTGTTGTCCAGCCTGTGGGGAATTCCGGTTACAATCCAGGATATCGCGTTCAAGTTGAAGGTGCTCGTTGATATGTTGTTTCTCGTCTTCTCTATGACGAACACCTAGAGTGACTGGGCCAT